GTGTGGTGTGTGAGTCTCTGAACTTTGGCTGTGAGCATGCGCGGGAGGGGTGTGTGTCAGCTCGTTGTTGCGAGTGGTTCCTATGGTGGGGACAGTGCTGGAGTTGGTCGCGCTAAGGTATGTGGACGTTTTTGGGTATGGACTAGGAGTTCAGGGAATAATGCCATAAGGAGGGGGGGAGGAGGCACCCGAGGGTCTCCATCCCCACACCCCGCCCGTGACCCCGTCCCCTGGCCCAGCCCCTTGCGGGCCCACTGTCGGTAGTCAATGAGATCTTTGCCCCCTGTCGGTAGTCAATGAGATCTTTGCGTCCAGCTCCGTTCGTGTCTCTGAGTTTCTCCCTTGGTTCTCAGGGTTGGTTATCCTTTGTTCCTCATCTTCTCGACCTATGCTTTCTATTCTTCAAGAATGGGTACTTTATGGTTGTCTGTTTCTGGCTATTAGAATTAGTTCTTCTATGGTTCTCATGTCTTCTACCCTCGTTATCCAGTCCGTCGTGGATGGGGTTGTGGTCTTTTTCCAAAATGCTGGGATCAGGCTGCGTGTTGCATTTTGTTAGGTACGGTGTGATTGTTTTTTGTATGTAGTTATGGTAGGGGTGTCAGGTGTAGCAGGTAATTTTCTGGTGTGAGTTTGACTGCGTTGTCTGTTAACGTGGTGACTGCTTGATGAATCTCCCTCTAGAAAGGCTGGATCCGGGGGCATGTCCACCAGATATGGTATAGTGTGTCCGATTCGGTTCCACATCTCCAGCATTCCGGTGCGCTCGTTGAGTGCATGGTCGCGAGTGGGTTTGGGGGTTCAGATGTGGGTAGGTCCATTAGTGGGGCGATGTTCCCGGGTTGCCAGGAGATGTTGTAGCCTGCATGGGGTCGGTAAGCCCAGGCTTGTCATGATTTGGTTTCTGTTGATCATGTGAAATCTATGGTTGTCTGTGATATGGTACAAAGGGGATATCGGAGGGGCGAGGTCCTTGTTGTCTGCTATATTCTTCCAGACCGTTAGGGTGGCTGATATCGTGGGATGTCTCCTTTCATGTCTCTTTATCTGTTGTGGGGCATCCATGGTAGTGTGTGGCGTGGGAGTTGAGTGAAGCTTGCTTCTATAGCGATCCAGAGCTTATCTTCTGTTCCTAAGATCCATTCTGCGATTCGTTGGAGGTGGATGGTTTGGTGATATTTATTAAGATCAGGTCCCCTTGCAGTTTGGGTTTTGTAAGGATGTTGTATTTTATTCTGGCCATTCGATTCCGCCAGACATATCTCATGAAAGCTGTGCGTATTTGGGCTAGGAAAGTCTGGGGGATGAAGATTGGGAGTGTTTGCATCAGGTATAGGAAGCGTGGTAGCGCATTCATTTTGAGAACGTTCACTCGTCCCAGCCAGGTGATATGAGGTATATCCCATTCTGCTAGGTCTTTAATTATTCGGTAAAGGAGGACGGGGAAATTGTGGTTGAACATGCAGTGTGGGTCGGCAGTGAGCCATATGCCTAGATATTTTATTGCGTCTTTACACCAGTGAAACGGGTAGCGCGCTTTTAGGTTCATGGTCAGGGCACGTTCGCAGCCGAGGTTTAGTATTTCCGATTTTGTATAGCTGATGCTGAGATTGGAGAAGGCGTTGTAGTCCTCGAATTCTTGCATGATGGCTGGGAGTGAGGATTGTGGGTCTCAGACTGTGAACAGTAAATCATCGGCGTAGGCCAATATTTAGCTTTCTCCCCACTGTCCTCGTATGCTTGTAATGTCCGGTCTGCTGTGTACCGCATTCAGGAATGGTTCCAGGCTGAGTACAAAAAGTAGGGGCGAGAGGGGGCATCCCTGTCGGGTGCCGTTGTGTATCTGGAATGGTTTTGATATAGACACATATAGACAATGGCTGTTGATATAGACACATGCCGTCGGTTTGTTGTAGAGAGCTGCGATCCATGTCCTCATGTTGGGGCCGAACCCTAGGTGTTGTAGTGTCGCGAACAGAAAAGTCCAGTCTAGCCTGTCGAACCCTTTTTCCGCGTGGAGATTAGAAGTGCTGGTGTTGTCCCTGTCCTGACCGCATACATCAGGTTGATTACTTTGGTCTCTCTTCTTTTGACAAATCCTACCTGGTCCAGATGTATCAGCTTCGGCAGGATGGGTTGGATGCAGAGTGCCAGGATTTTGGTGAATAGTTTCAGGTCAGCATTCAACAGGGAGATCGGTCAGTAACTTGGACATGCTGTGGAGTCTTTGCCTTCTTTGGGTATCACTACTATGTGCGCCTTTAGGGTATTCTGGTCGAGGCTCCCCCCTTCTTTGATGGCATTTAACATACTAAGTAAGTGTGGTGCCAATGTTTAATGGAGTGTGGCAGGTAGTTCCGTTGAGTTTGATCTCTGAGCTAAAGCATTTTTGTCTGGCTTTCCTTAGGGCCTTTGCCAGGAGTTTTCCGCTCTTGTTGCCAAATTCATATAAGGTCTTCTGGGCTTGTCTGTATTGGAAGGCGATCCATTGGGAGAGTTCAGTGCTGCTCTTGCCACGACTAGTTGCGCGTAGGTGTTGTCATTGAGCGTGGCTTTGTGCTGTTTTTCCAAAGCCGCCACTTTCCACGAAAGGTTTGCTGTTTCTTGCGCGTGTTGTTTTTTGTGTTGTGCGCCATGTCAAATCAGGATGCCGCGTATCACACATTTCTGTGCTTCCCACACCATGTCTGGAGTGGATTCTGGGGTGCTGTTTGTTCGAAAGAAGTGGTCTGTGTGGGATTGTACCTCAGTCTGGATTAGGGGGTCTTCTAACAGCGACTCGTTTAGTCACCAGGTCTATTGTTTCTGGTATGGGGTTGGCGAGGTTATCGTGATAATGACCGGAGCATGGTCCAACCAAGACATGGGGGCTATTTTCATGTAGAGGAGGTCATCTGGGTGGAGGAAGAAGTAGTCTATGCATGAGTACGAATTGTGAGGTGGGGAATAGTACGTGTAATCTTTCTCTGTGTGGTGCAGGGTGTCCCAGCAGTCTGACATTTGAAATTAATGCAGGGTGGCTTGCATGCCTCTGAGTACATGGTCTGGAAGGATTGAGTGGCCTGCGGATGTGTCTAGTCTCGGATTCAGCGGTGCGTTAAAGTCTCCGCCAATAATTAGTATTCCATCGCTGAAGAGATCTAGGGCTGTCAGGGTTTTCTTTAGAAAGGGTTTTTGTCCCCTGTTAGGGAGGTATAAATTGGCGAAGGTAAAGCATGTGGCATGGATTGTGCCCTTCAGGAAGAGGTATCTACCATTAGGGTCTGAAAGTTCTTCTTCCAGTTGGAACGGTACTTCGACTGAAAAAAGTATAGCCGTCCCATTGGTTTTTGAGTCCGGGTTGTTGGCGTGGAAACTCAGCGGGAAGTGTTTGTTCGAGAACTTGGGCCACTTGTCAGTTTTGAAGTGGGTTTCCTGGAAGAACGCTATGGATACATGTAGGGCTTTCAGTTCTCGCTCGCTTCTGTGGGGAGTTGAGTCCCTTGGCGTTGATCGTGAGGAGTTTGAGGGCTGGTTGGGGTTGTCTCTGATGCGGGCGGCTGCGCAGGGAGGGGGGATCGGGAGAGAGGAAAAAATAGGGGGATGTGGGAGGGCAGAAAGCGGGGAAGGCGGCTACGGGGGTCTAGTGGTCGCCCGCGCAAGCCCTCCCGGTCGCTTTAGTCGTTCACCGCTGGGGGCATGCAGGGGAGCTATATATGCTGTGGTTGATCTTCTGCGGTCGTGAAGTGTTTGTGTAGGGTGTTGGTTGGTGTCGGGAGCTTGTCATCTCTCCTTGCCTATTGTGGGTACTGGTCTGTGTGTGGTTGTGTTTTGTTCCTCTTTGTTTGCTACCTCCCTCGAAATCAAGGGTGGAGGCCATGTGGACGGCAATAAGGGGCAGTCTGCCTCTGGGGTGTGGGCTCACGTGTAGATCGAGTTCTCAGGCAGTAAACCCATGGGGAGGTGGGTGGCGGTTCTTTGCTCTCTAGCAAAGTTTGTTGGGTGGTTTGTTTGGTCAGATGGCAGGGTCATCCGAGCCCTGCTGCTAGAGCATTTATGTTATGTGGTAAGACTGTGGGTTATATTGTGGTGCAGTAGCGTCAACATGCAACGTTCACATTCAACAAGTTTAAAACATTTGTATAGCAAGTTTAAAACATTTGTATAGCTGGTTAATAGAGTAGAATTTCAACCTTTTAACTTTTGGAGACATTTCATGGAGGCTGCCAGCATCAATCTTTCTGCAAAGACACTCGTTATGTTTCCCCATTACATGGTGTGAGTCGTTGGGGGTTGTGTCCTGTCTGTGTGTGGGGGTGGTGCATCTTAGTGATTGCGGGTGGTGTGTCGGTGTGTGTGCGGGCGGTTGGTTCTTCTGTTGAGGTAGTGTGGTTGTGTTCGTCATTGGCATGGGGGGGCACTTTCGTGTGGGATTGGTATCGTCTTATGTGTGTGGTCTGTCCTAGTTCGCCATCTTTGGTTCTCCGTGGTGTGTGGGTGGGGGGTGGAGTTATGTTGTCGTTTGTGTGTGGGTTTGAATGTGTGTCGGGTTGTGGGTTCTGTTAGCAGGGAGGTGTTTCCTTTCCGTTTTGGGGAGTGTTGTCGTCTGTGGAGTCTATGCGTGTGGGTCCCCTACAGCCCTTAGTCCACAGTAGAGTCTTTGTGGGCTCCCTTCCTTGAACCGGTTTAGTCACTGTGGGGGAGTCATGTCCGTTCTGGGGGTGACACCGTGGGGTCTACTTGAGTTTTGTCGCTGGTCGGGTCTCCATTGTCTCCAGGCTTTATTCTTCGTGTGCTATTTGGTGGGGCGGGATATTGCCCATGTCCACTCCGTCTGCTCCGAGAGGTTGGGTCACTGGTCTGCCTAAGTTTCTCTCGTTGAGGGGGCAATCTGTTCAGTCTCTTACCGTGATGGCTGGTAGACCCAGCGTATCCAGGAAGATGGGGACATCTGCTGGTAGTCATATTGTGGCCTCTATGTTGTCCTTCCTTGCTGTAAGTGCGAACGGGAAGTGCCATCGTTATCTTAAATGGTGTTCCTGGAGGATAGTTGTGACTGGTCTGAGGGCTCGCCGCGTTTGCAGGGTGAGGTGGGAGAGATCATTGTAGAGTTCCACGTTTTGGCCTTTGTACCGCCATGTTCTTTCTGTGCGTGCTCCCTTTATGATGTCTTCTTTCAACTGGATGTCTTGTATATAGCAGATGACGTCTCTTGGCAGTGGTGTTGGTGGCGGTTTCGGGCGGAGAGTGCGGTGCGCTCTGTCAATATACAGGCGTGCTTCAAGGGGCCTGTTCAGTATGATGTTAAAGAGTGAGGTTAGAGTCTCTCTCAGATTTTCTGTTTCGCGTAGCCCTCTCACTCTGATGTTATTCCTGCGGCTCCTGTTGTCTAAATCTTCAACATGCAGCTGCAGGTCCATAAGCTGCCTGTCATGGTTGTGTGTTTGCTGGGGTACTGGGCCTGCAGATTCCAATGCGGTCATTCTTCCCTCCAAGTTTTTGCCAAGGCATTTGATACAGTTCCACACAATAGATTAGTGTTCAAACTCAAGGAAATCGGTCTAGATGAAAATGCTTGTTCTTGGGTAGAACATTGGCTTAAAAACAGAGTACAAAGAGTTGTCATTAATGGTAAATTTTCAAGCTGGACAGAGGTGGCAAGTGGTGTCCCTCAGGGGTCTGTTCTGGGACCCCTTCTATTTAACATGTTTATAAATGATCTTGAAGACCGCATTGAAAGTCATGTTTCAGAGTTTGCAGATGACACCAAACTTTGTAAAACAATACAATGTGAGCAAGATATTACTTTGCTGCAGAGGGATTTAGATAGACAGGGGGACTGGGCACTCAAATGGCAGATGAAATTTAATGTTGAAAAATGCAAAGTTATGCACTTCGGCATAAAGAATACACAAGCAACGTATACCCTTAATGGAAGTGAATTAGGGATAACAACACATGAAAAGGACTTGGGAATTGTTATAGACAACAAACTATGCAAAAATGTGCAATGTCAATCAGCAGTGGCCAAGGCAAGTAAGGTATTGTCATGGATGAAAAAGGGCATTCATTCTCGGGACAAGAATATAATTTTGCCTCTTTATAAATCACTGGTAAGACCCCATATTGAATATGCTGTGCAATTTTGGGCACCTGTTCTAAAGAAGGATACTATGGCACTAGAAAAAGTGCAGAGGCGGGCTACAAAACTAATAAAAGGAATGGAACATATCGGCTATGAAGAAAGGTTAACAAATTTAAACCTATTTAGTTTAGAAAAACGTCGCCTGAGAGGGGATATGATAACATTATACAAATATATTCGGGGCCAATACAAACCATTGTGTGGAAATCTATTCACAAACCGGACTTTACATAGGACACGAGGCCATGCGTTTAGACTGGAAGAAAGAAGATTTCGCCTAAGGCAAAGGAAAGGTTTTTTTACTGTAAGAACAATCAGGATGTGGAATTCTCTGCCTGAAGAAGTGGTTTTATCAGAGTCCATACAGATGTTCAAACAGCTACTAGATGCATACTTGCAAAAACAGAATATTCAAGGATATAATCTTTCAATGTAGGGTAATAACTGCTTGATCCAAGGATAAATCTGACTGCCATTCTGGGGTCAAGAAGGAATTTTTTTCCTAGCTTGTTGCAAAATTGTGCTTCAAACTGGTTTTTTTTTTGCCTTCTTTTGGATCAACAGCAAAAAACAAATGTGAGGTAGGCTGAACTTGATGGACGCAAGTCTCTTTTCAGCTATGTAACTATGTAACTATGTAAGTCTGACAGGGAGGTGCGCAGTGAGGCTATCTCCGCTATCAAACATAGTGTGTTCGCGTCCGCCGCGGATGGCGAACACATGCGCGGTTCGATCCGCCCCCTATTCGTCATCATTGAGTAAACTTTGACCCTGTACCTCACAGTCAGCAGACACATTCCAGCCAATTAGCAGCACACCCTCCCTAGCAGACCCTCCCACCTACTGGACAGCATCCATTTTAGATTCATTCTCAAGCTGCATGCTTAGTGAGAGGAGGGAAAGTGTAGCTGCTGTTGATTAGATAGGGAAATGCATAGCTAGGTTAGGGTATACAGTGTCCACTACAGTCCTGAAGGACTCATCTGATCTCTGCTGTAAGGACAGCACCCCAAAAAGCCCTTTTTAGGGCTAGAACATCAGTCTGCTTTTTTTTTTTTTCTGTGTAATGTAATTGCAGTTAGTTGTCTGCCACTGCTGCCAGCTTCTGTGTCAGGCTCACAGTGGATACTGTGCCCATTTGCCCAGTCAGTGCCACCACTCACTCACTGGTGTCACAATAGCTTGCATTTAAAAACAAAAAACTTTTTTCACTGTTATAGATTGAATAGCAGTCAGTGTCCTTAAAGCGGGTGTGTCAGGCTCACAGTGGATACTGTGCCCCATGCCACCACTCACTCACTGGTGTCACAATAGCTTGCATTTAAAAACAAAAAACTTTTTTCACTGTTGTAGATTGAATAGCAGTCAGTGTCCTTAAAGCGGGTGTGTCAGGCTCACAGTGGATACTGTGCCCATTTGCCCAGTGCCACGACTCATATCTGGTGTCACAATAGCTTAAGCTTGACATTTAAAAAGAAAAAAAAATGTTTTCACTGTAATAGATTGAATAGCAGTTAGTTGTCTGCAAGCGTCTGGGTGTCAGGCCTCCTTCAGCGTGTGCTCTGCAGACCTCTGCCCATGTACTTTGCCACTCATATCTGGTGTCTCTATAGCGTGCTTTTACAAAGAAAAAAAGTTTTTCAGTGGAAGCTAATAGCAGTCATTGTCCTTAAAGCGGGTGTCAGGCCTCCTTCAGCGTGTGCTCTGCAGACCTTTGCCCGTGTACTTTGCCACTCATATCTGGTGTCTCTATAGCGTGCTTTTACAAAGAAAAAAAAGTTTTTCAGTGTAAGCTAATAGCAGTCAGTGTCCTTAAAGCGGGTGTCAGGCCTCCTTCAGCGTGTGCTCTGCAGACCTCTGCCAGTGTACTTTGCCACTCATATCTGGTGTCTCTATAGCGTGCTTTTACAAAGAAAAAAAGTTTTTCAGTGTAAGCTAATAGCAGTCATTGTCCTTAAAGCGGGTGTCAGGCCTCCTTCAGTGTGTGCTCTGCAGACCTCTGCCCGTTTACTTTGCCACTCATATCTGGTGTCTCTATAGCGTGCTTTTACAAAGAAAAAAAGTTTTCAGTGTAAGCTAATAGCAGTCAGTGTCCTTAAAGCAGGTGTCAGGCCTCCTTCAGCGTGTGCTCTGCAGACCTTTGCCCGTGTACTTTGCCACTCATATCTGGTGTCTCTATAGCGTGCTTTTACAAAGAAAAAAAGTTTTTCAGTGTAAGCTAATAGCAGTCAGTGTCCTTAAAGCGGGTGTCAGGCCTCCTTCAGCGTGTGCTCTGCAGACCTCTGCCCGTGTACTTTGCCACTCATATCTGGTGTCACAATAGCACATTTAAACCAAAAAACTTTTTGCACTATTTATAGATTGAATAACAGTTAGTTGTCTCTCTCAAAAGCGGTTGTGTCAGGCTCACAGTAGATACCTTACAGTGCCACCACTTTCCTCACTGAATTATCACAATAGCTTGCATTTAAAAACAAAACTTTTTTCACTGTTATAGATTGAATGAAGTTGGTTGTCTCAAGCAGGTGTGTCAGCCCTACAGCGTGTACTCACCAACCTCTGCCAGTGCACATTGCCACTCATATCTGGTCTCACAGTAGCTTGCACGCATAGTACCACTAATGCCAACAAAAATGACAGGCAGAGGCAGGCCACCCCGCAGGGGCCATCGTGGTCGTGGTGCTGTGATTCCCTTTGGCCCTAGAATAATGCCCAGTTTTCAGAGGCCAAGTACCCTGAACTTGAAAAGTTCTGAGGACATAGTTGACTGGCTGCCTGGGACGCAATCTTACAGCTTCAGCTCTGAACCTTGGCATAACATTCTCCTCCAGCTTAGCTTGGGCACCTCAAGAATACCACTCACCCGCCTGCCGCCACCACCAAAACTAGCACCACAGCCGCTTCAGTTGGTATGTCAGAGGAGTTATTCACACATCCGTTTGAAGAAATGGGTGATGCGCAACCATTATTGCCAGAGGATGTAGATAACAGGGATATGTCTCAGGCAGGCAGCATTACACACATGGACGTACGGTGTGATGATGATGATGATGTTGTACCCGCTGCTGCTTCCTTTGCTGGGTTGTCAGATACAAGTGAAGCGGTTGATGATGACGATGCGTCCATGGATGTCACGTGGGTGCCCGCTCGGCAAGAAGAAGAACAGGGCGAAAGTTCAGATGGGAGACAGAGGAGGAGGAGACGAGAGGTTGAAAGCAGGGGAGGTCGCCATGGGAAGGCCTATGGCACAGTCAGACATACGCGCCGGCACCGGGGTCAGCGCAACAGCAATCAACGCATGCTGTTTCCACCACCAGAATGCCGTCATTGCAGAGCTCAGCAGTGTGGCATTTTTTTTGTGTGTCTGCCTCTGACAACAGCGATGCCATTTGCAACCTGTGCAAAAAGAAACTGAGTCGTGGGAAGTCCAACACCCACCTAGGTACAACTGCTTTGCGTAGGCACATGATCGCACATCACAAACGCCTATGGGATCAACACATGAGTACAAGCAGCACACAAACTCAAAGCCACCATCCTCCTCCTGGTCAGCATCTTCAGCCACGTCAACCACTGCTGTCCTCCTTGCCCCCTCTCAAC